CGTCTGCCTCCAGAGGTCACTGGACTGCAGCCGTATCCAGGTCAGACGGGCCCGCCAGCTCCGGCGCTACTCGCCCAGCATCCCATGTCTCGTCCGTCTTCTGCTCTGGATGTAGTTAGCTGCATATTTATACACCAGGTGGAGCAATTCAATACGGATGGCTATTCTAGGCGACGGCTGACCACTGTGCAAACCTGTGAGGTCATGTGGTGTATCGACAACATGCAGCATGTGCATCGACACCGCCAGAGTGCAGCCGCTCAGGTTCACACAATAAGCGGAGTATCCAGTCACCTATTCAACGAGCTGCTATCCCCTCAATGCCGTACAGCGCGCAGATATTCGAAGGCTGATCGTTAAAGCCACGATCACCAGCTGATCCGCCGGTCTGGTGGCACGAGTATGCATATCATGTCTGACGATGAGAATGTGGACGGGAAATTCCAGTTGCCTCTTGGAGATTGAAGTTGTGGTACGGCTATATGTTTTGTTGTTTTGCATATGAATGCATCGGTTATCACATACGAGCGGCCACGCGGTTGCGAACATATCCGGACAACGTCCACCGCGAAATCAAAATATTTTAGCTGGTTTACATTAAAAACACGATACATAAAACATTTACATAAAACACGATAAGGTTGCGGAAATATGTTGGAGCTCGTTAGGGGGATGGAACACCCATAAATTTTTAATGTTGGGCAAAAATAACTGCACATGCTTTACAAATAGGTGTGGCAAATGGCTAGGCAGCTGTTAGTTTAAGAGTAACCACCATATCAAACTAGGAGTAAAAAAGATCGCCAGAGCTTAACCTGCCAAGGGCAAGGCAAACGTTGGTGAGCGTGATTCTCTGCCAATGACGTCAATGCCGAAGTCGCTGGCCGGTTTGTGACGGTCCAGCTGTTGGCAGCGTCCGTCTGTTGCCACCCACGAGGATGCTTGATAACATCGAACGGATGACAGGACCAAGGCCCAATCCCACTCCATGACAGCTACAGCCATCTGGTCTGTCACGGTCCGACGGTCCCCCCACCACAGTGGTGAACAGGCATTACAAGACCAGACCGTGGGTGTGAGACCAGTCAGAGGCGGTCATGTGAGTAGCTAGAGAGCCGCCAGTGTCCCATTGTCCGACCAACTAAGTGTTGAAAATAGCAACACAGAGTAACACGTTTGTCTGGTGCTGGACGCTAAAGGCAGCTTTTCCTTCCTTCTAGTCTTATTCAGAATCGTCCTACTCTTTTTAAAATTCCGTCAGCTCATGGGACAATTTTGTATGATCTGGCATGACATGTGACACTTTTCATGTGCCCCATGCTCCATAACTTTACATGCAATCATTTGAGTTGCTCTTGTAGCATTCACTATATCTGACGTAAACAACTAAAGCTGTGGTGCGGTAACCAGAGCCGTACAGAATGACATCGGCGCTATTCGGCCATAAGTGGAGACCAATGAGCCGCAAAATTGCAAAAACGCAAAACATAAAGCGCATGGAAAATATTTTGTATTAAACAGAGCTTATCACAAGTGCTTACCACCGAACGAACGACATGGTACGTTTTTCGGACGGGAAAGTGACGCTTTTGCTCCGTTCACTCCCGAAATCAGTTTACTCCCCAAAGCCCCGGCCTGTTCTGCAGCAGGAGAAAATTCACATGGAGAGAGTGAGGGTCTCAGTCTGTCAATAAAAATCGGGACTTGGCAGCTGGTGGATCTTGCATCCTTGCATTATGGAGTCTGATCACTGCTGCGTCTCATACGATGAGAAGGGTTGGCCCAGCCTAGATTAAGCGCATTAGCATTAAGGATGCGGCTTACACTGGATGTTTTGGATCCGTGAATGACTCGGACCTCCACCCCCTTTTATTCTGCGCTTGCGCGCATAACTGGGGAGGAGCAGAAGCAGTAGAGGTGGCGGGACTGGCTAGACAGCTGAGGAGTGAAACAGCCTCTGATAGCCTTGGTTCAAGTGGTAGACTGTGATTCAAGTCGAGTAATTAACTAATGCGACACTGTTATCACAGTCTGGCTAACATGCTGGAGACAGTCTTTCACGTTCTTCCTTCCCGCCATAATTGACGTTAAGCATTGCAACATGAAAGGTCAATGGCATGCGTTTTAAAAAGAGGAAAGATTGTAGGTTAACAAGCATCGCAGCTCAAAAGCTGAATTAAGCCTCTGACCTGCCACTAAATATTCTTTGGAGAATAGTTAGTGGCAGGGGCACCCAATCTGACCTGTCACCTTTGTTACCGGATTAAGATACTCGGCTGACATGAGGGCGACCTAGTCTGGTACTGCTCTTTTTAAGCTGTAATTTGAGCCGACAAAGACATGTATATGAATCCGGCCTAAATGCACCATCAAGATGCGCTAATAAACAAAACCTCTCAATCACGCGACCGAATCGAACTCTACTAAATTCACTCCACTAATAAAACAATTGAAACGAGAAACCCAATCAGACCACCCAATCACGGTGACGAAGTGTGCTGCCGAGTCGAGCGGCCGGGCCGGCACCCCCCGCCGCGCTGCGGAGAGGTGCCGTCCGTCAGCGCTCGCTCTGCCGCGCTGCTGACGACAGGACGCGTCGGCCGGCCAGGGGCGCCACCGGCGCCTGGCCCACTTGTGGGGCCGGACCGGGCCGGGCCGGACCGGGAGCGGACCTGCGCTCCCTTGTCTTACCGTGACGGAGCGACGGTAGCCGGGCCAGCCGTGTCACGCCAGAGCGCGCGCTCCGCCGGCGCGCTGCCGCTCACAGGTGGCGGCACCGGATCGCGATAGCTGCCGTCACCGACTGCCCGGCTGGGGACCGTCACGCGGGACCCCCAGCCGGTGACGGCGGCCCGCGGCTGTACCCCGCTCCGGGGTCCTGTGCGCAGCAATCTGGGGTTCTTGGAACGTGGGCGACGGGACGGACAGCGCGCACTGCGCCCCCTGCACTGCGGCAACGCATCCACACATTGAGATAAGGCTAGGTCATTACATCTGCATTCACGCGCGAAGTACTCATTCTTGCTCCGTTCAGGCATTCATTAGCCTTGGAGCCCGTCGCGAAAATAAGAGCCACCGTAATGCCGCGGCAGGGGTTGTGCCGTGATTTAATGGAAGGTGGCCAACCCGGGAATGGCTGGCGGTCGGAAGGCATTGGGCGCCGGCGGCTGTGCCAAGGGCATCTCCTCCTCCCAATGCTGATCTCTCTGAGCGGCAGCCGTCCTAGCCTGTCTGGCACACTTGCCCGCGGAAATAGGTCTCGTCTCGCATGCCCGCGGCGGGCGGCATGAGCACGTGCACTGGGAAGTGGGAGCCATTGACTCCTGGCGCCGGCAGAGAACCGGCAATCAACGGCACTCCTCGCAATCAGCGTGCATTGATAAACAGCTGAGGGCGGCATGCCGATGGGCAGGCGCGAGGCGCCAGCGTTACTTTAATTGATACAACTGCCGCGGTACAGCTGATGACGGATGAAGCGTAGCAGAGTGCGGCCGTCTCTCCTCGGTCGCGTATGGCCGGTGACGCTCTGATGCCTGACCGGCTAACCCGTGTTCCGACCGTCCAAGCAAGTGTGAACACCACATCGTGCTTGACGTGATCTCCAACTGATCCATCTGTTCCCGCAGCGAGACCAGCTCAACCACACCTATCATCATCTGCGGGCCGCACGTAACAACACCTGTGTTCTGCAGCAGGCATCAAGTGACTCACCAGCGTACCCGACACAACTGCTGGCCGCATACTTTTAGCTGCCTGAGGACCTGAGTCCTCCAGACGATTTCCCCGGGAGCTTCAGTCGACCTCCGAGGCACCTGTCACTGCCGCCATGCAGAGGCGCCCAGCGGCGGCCTCGCGCACAAACAGTGGCGCCGGCGGCGCTGGGCGCGCCGGCCGCCGGCGGCTCCGTCCCAACACGGCAGTTGCGGCCGACTAGGAATGCAGAGGTCGGGCCGGAGGGCTCGCCTGGCCCCGGGCGCGCGGGGTATATTGGAACTGCGCCGCCCCGACCGCGCAGCCGCCGGGCACCCAATCAAACCACACGCCTTGTCGGCTGGCTGGGGGCGGCGGCGGCGGCGCGCGCAGAATGTTCCCACGGCTGGACGCTGCCGTGACAGTCGACCGTTGGAGGGAGAGGTGGCGGCAGGGGCCACAACGCGCCCCGGGCGCCGATCGAAGGAGGCAGCATGACACGCATTCTCCGTGGACGGTGCGCTCAGAGAGTGGTGCGAGCTGAGGGATTGGTCGTTTAGACATGCCTGAATGTGGCGTTTCTATCGGTTTCTAGCCACTTTCAAATGAGCGGAGGCAAGTAATAGTTAATGGTAACGGTAGCCAAGGAAATGTGAAACTAGAGGAAGCCTTTGTTTAACTTGACGCTCCTAGATTGAGTCGTATGGTCCTTTGTTCAGCTCGATATATTCAGTAAATACCTCTGGCTCACAGCCGCTCTCGTATTTCACATTTGTGCTGGAAAATCCCGGAAGGGCGAGCTCATTTCGGAGGGGATATCTGATCCAGGTGTAAGTCCCAGGAAAGTTTCAGTTCACTTCCCCAAACACAACAGAAAAACCAATAGCTTGTGTGTAATATTTGGCGGATTTTACACTGAGCAGGCGTTGAAACTCCAGCCTGGTATGACAAAGATAATCAATAACAATAAGAAGTTTCGCATGCACACACCGTCATACTGCGGTGTACGCGGTTGTCTTATCCACAAGCTACATCTACCTATAATGCGTACAGAGGCCATTATGTGAGATTCAATACGTTTTTAAAGCTAGGCATTCACCCAAATACCGCAGCAACTCTAGCCAACAGTGATGCCCTCTGAACGTCAAACAAATCGACCAATCAGCGCGTCGCCGAGCACAGATCACAATCAGCAGTCTCCCAGCCAGCGATTACCCGCTGCTATGTTTCCGTCGAAGTCCCATGCCCGGCCCGCAGTGCCTCCCCCCCCCCCCCCCCGTCGCCGGCGTCGGCCGCGCCCGCCGACCTACCTGCGCGGCTTGGGTCGGATGATGGGGTGTCCCTCGCTGGCGGCCCGCTCTGGGCGCCGGTACTGCTCGGCCTCGCGGAACTCGGGCGGCGCCGCGCTCGCCGAAGCCATCGTGGCGTCACTGCTGGCGCCGGCTCATCCGGTGACGCCCGCCGAACGACGTCTCATCTGGCTCTGCCCACCTGTCAAACGGGGCGAAGTTACAGCGATGCTGCGGTGGCCAGCGGTGACGCCCGCCGAACGACGCCTCATCCGGCTCTGCCCACCTGCCGATCGGGGCGAAGTTACGGCGATGCTGCGGTGGCCAGCGGCGGCCCCGGCGGCGACGTGGTGGGCCTACGCGTTAAGTCACGTGTTTCTTTAAGGGAGTGATCCATATCTGTATGGAGCTTTTAGTTGCGAAAGCCACATTGAAGATCATTCTTTACAGTGTATAACACTGCGCTTCTTAGAACCTTAACCTCTCTAGTTTCTGAGCTACACGCCCGCGAAGATGTGCAGACTATTTCGGGGAGACTATTTCAGAGTCACTCAGGAATTCATGACGCCATAAAAACGTCATTCAAATCCTACAATTCCATTGGCCACGCGGCGATCAAGGGTTAAAAAAAACAGTTGTAGAGCCGTTCATATCTGGCGGTCGTAAATACAATTTCCAGATGTAACGGCCACCAATTTACTTTCCATCAATGCTATGCAAGGTACGATGACGCAGTCAAACAATGATGTATTTATAAGCATATTTGCTGAACAGAAACATTGTGTTGCCTAGAGTACTCTTTTCCATTTAAAAGCATATCAATAATTATAAGTGAGATTCTTTCATCATATCTGACGCTTGCTTCAATATCTTCAAATATAGAACATTCCTTCAATTGTTTGTTTACAGAGTTTCGTCTTAATCGTTTTTGTAGAAGACGAGATAACGTTCGCGTGTTTCTGCATCACGATAAGTACGGTCGTGGAGGCCGGTGATGTAACTGTCTGTATTGAATGACGTTTGTTGAGACCATCGCTGGATTTTTGACGAGTAGTTAAGTTGTCACCTTTCAGAGTCGGGCGCTAAATATTGGATATCGGAAGATCTCCAACAAGCCTACGGAGCTTGCCCAAGAGGGCGCGATAGCAGCTCGCTTTATGAAGAGGCCTGGATCTTTGTCTCCAGACAACACGTGTTAACAATGACTAATGTTGGATGACACGAAACGAAAACACTCTCAGTTAGACTCCCGCTACATCCGCACATATCAAGCGCTTTCAGGACATGCATCTTCAAACGCGCCTAAAGCTGCTTCAACGAATTCAGATAAACCTTGAGCCGACGTTAAGTCGTGTGACAGCATCACTTTCACAAAATAGTCGGTTGCCCGTTTGTCTGATGGTCTTAAAACAGCAACAATAGACCAATAACTTTCAATTATCTGCAAAGGTCATCAGGAAGGCTCATACACCCTCAGTCATTACCTTGAGCCCTCTGACTCGTACTTCATCCCCAGAGTGATCCAGCTTCGGATCAAAACAGGTGGGACCGATGCCGGTCCGGACTACTTCAAAATGACTTGGCTGGCGCGTAGTGAGAAGGAACTGTTTGAGTACGCTAGCACACACCTGTTGCAGGTATCAACGCTGGCATTCTGTTCCTTAAAGAACGATAGCGGTTTACGATGTCCCTTGTTACGTTTCACCAATAAATCGAATTGAGTCGTGACGTAAAACCAGCGAGTGTCTTGTTATCTACGGTATCGGTATGCCCTCAAAGTGATTAGGTCAGGTCAACCAATGACTATCAAGGTAAGACAGCTTTCTTAACTTAAGAATGCATTGTCGAGTACCTTTGAGGATGCTGTAGCTTCTCGCGAAACTGCCTTAAAGTGTTTCATTGAATTTGACGTGACCTGCTCTTGAATTCTAGTTGATTGTGGGCTGTTTCAAGTTTCTATGCAACCTGGTTCTGGAATACAAATCTGGGCATAAGCTGAGCAGAAACGCAGTCCTGATATACTCCCTTGGAAAACAAGGTCTTATGCCGCAGAAAGGCGTGTAACATTCTTATGATTATTGTCAGGTACGAACTATGACCTGATCCGGAAGTTAGCCGCTTGACCTGCGATATCAAGCCACTGGCTACCAAGTAATAACTGACGTTTGTTTTCTCGCTCTGCGCATCATTTATGACACAAGTGGCTACGGACCACCACTAAAAACTCCCCGCCCTGCGAGCTAGTTAAGACACAAACGAAACGCAGCTCTCGCTCTCAGCATCCCGCATCACGCAACGAGCCAGCGTCATCACGGCGCCTCGGTGTGCGCCAGCGGCGGCGGCGGCGGGCGGCACTTTCGCCGCAGCGCCGCCGGCTACCGCCAGGTCACGAGCTGCACACGGCTTCACGTCACCGCCGATTGAGCGGGAAAAGTCTGAGACAATCGCTCGTTACCATAGCGGGCCACTTTCCGAGAGGAGCGCCGCCCGGAGAGATCGCTCTGCCGCCGCCCCGCGCCCCGTCGGCCCTGGTTTGAATAGAGGTGGTGGCGGCTCCCACGCTAATGAAGCAGAACGCCAGACGATCGCGCGCCACCGGCGGCAAGATGAAGGCGTCTCGCGGCCGGCGAGAGTCGGCGCAGTGGAGGCGATCTAGCCCGCGGTCGGGCCGCGCCACCCGGCCCCCGCCGGTGACCGCTGCCACCGCGGACTCGGCCCCACGCCACCCGGCCCCCGCCGGTGACCGCTGCCACCGCGGACTCGGCCCCACGCCACCACGGCGCCCTACCCCGGTGACCGCCGCCACCGGGGACTCTGCCCCACGCCACCCGGCCCCTGCCGGTGACCGCCGCCACCGCGACTCGGCCCCACGCCACCCGCCCCCGCCGGTGACCGCTGCCACCGCGGACTCGGCCCCACGCCACCCGGCCCCCGCCGGTGACCGCTGCCACCGCGGACTCGGCCCCACGCCACCCGGCCCCCGCCGGTGACCGCCGCCACCGCGGACTCGGCCCCACGCCACCCGGCCCCGCCGGTGACCGCCGCCACCGCGGACTCGGCCCCACGTGAGCGTAATGTGGAAAGCGACGGAGCCCCTGGAATATGGGCAGATGACGTGTTTTTCCGACGGCGACGATTGCCCGATTGAGAGTACAGAAGGCCCGCACCAGTTCAGCCAACTCAGCCATCAGAGGTGTTTGTACAGTCGGGTTTTCTGGCGACCTTCTATGGGGTGGTGTGGCGCCACTAAATCTGATATCGTCTGCCCGGCCTTTCCCGCGAAGGGTGGCCCCATCAAAACACGGCTGCCCTCCATCAACTCTGAGCTGGCTTGAAACGCGTGGCTTCCTTTGTTATCCCAGCAGAAGATGCTTGGAAAGCACCCATGCGCATTCACGTTCATTCGCGGCGTTCGTAAGTGGACCGGTGATTACGGTTGTGAATTATTCAGCTTAATAAATGCTAATGCTGAAAGTGGAAGCCCGTGAGTAAATGAGGTACTCTCACTATTTGGATGATATATGGATGACTGTCATCTCATTAGTGAAGATGGAGACAATAGTTCCGTCAGAAGTGCACAAAATTACTTTAATTCTTCCAAAACTTATCCTGTTCCACATTTTCTCCGACTCATTCATAAATCTGTGATATCATCTCCCGAGAGTTCCCAAGTTCATCGGCTGCGACTCAATTGAAACCAATCTAAGCGAACCGGATATATCCCTTTGTGGGGCTTTTTTGAGGTCAACGATGTGGTAAGCAGATGCTGATGAAGCAAATTCTGTCAAAGCACCATACAAATTATGGATAACAATTGGGTTAGATGAAAGCTGGTGATACTTTGTGGCGCATACAACTGACGTGATATTGACCTGCACGATAAAGTGTCATCGCCCTACTTCCAAGCATCTTGTTAATACTTAAAAGCCACACCTTCCCTCTATTTCTCAGATCTACAACCTTTTCATCTGTCAAACACACTCGGGATTGGTTAGATAGGAGGACCAGCCAGTTTGCCTACCACGTTAAATGGCTGCGTTGGCTTTAGTTTTCACAGGTAGGGCTTAATAATCCTGCCCGTGCGTGAACGCTGAACGCTCCTCATTCTTCTCCCCATTGCAATACCTTTTATATTACGTTTCCTGGGTTTGTCGCTGGAATGGGTAAGTCCGCATGAATGGACAGGTACTTTGGTGCAAATTAGCACCTATCTCAGTCATAATGTGTTTTCATACACATTGGCATGCATCCCGAAGCCCCTTGATAAACGGTAGAGATGACAGACAAGCCGAGATGCTTCTCCTTTAATTTAGGGTCGTCATATATTTTCCCTCAACGCTGTCGTATGCCAGCGCGTGCGATACAACCAAACCAGCCGTCGTCTAGTCGCGGGTGGTGCTAGGCAATGCGACAGACGCTTGCCCTTAATGAATGACGACGTGCTTCCCGGAACACAACTTGCCCGCCTGACACAGATGTGGTGCAAAGAAGGCTACTAACATTGTAAGATCCGATCACTGTCAACCATTAATCTGTCGTGACACGCATCCCATTGCATGCCCGTTCCTTTTAGTTGACCTTGGCATATTAATATGACAGCAATGTCATGGTACCCTTGACACTGTTCAATATGGCAGCAATATCATGGGTGTCCTCGCGGTGCATGAGCCATGTGCTGTTCTGAAACATGCTAACGGTTTGGGTGCCTTCCGTAACCAGGGAGCAAAGGATAACTTTACAATAGTAGTGGGAGAACTGCTTCATCCTTGCGTTTGTTTTGCAGGGGCGCACCTTCCTACGATTAGTCACGTCGTATCCACCATGGCATTACACCTGGGAGTGATATGCGAGATGTTCCTGACGCCAATACACCGCGCTTACAGTGTGCATGCGGATAGGCGGCGTGCGGTGCGATGTGGTCAGAACACTGCGAGCCATATTCTCACAGTGGGCTGTCCTCTGTTGGGCTGTAGAGACAGCCTGGTCGTCGGAGCACTTTGTGGACGGCACTGAGCAGTAATGTAGCACCTTTTTTCACTCGCTCCGTATGACTATCATCAATTTGGCATAAACCAACGAATTCCAGGCAAATTTATTTAACATAAGGGGTGCAAAAAGTTTCCGTGCATCCCCACTAGGAAGAATGAGCCACAGCCAAGCGCACTAAAAAACAATATCTGCGGCAGGACCATAATTTGTGTC